TTAGGTTCGAAACCCAGATCACACAATAAGGCTCGCAACCACAACAATTCGCATACTCCATGAGCCATCCCCCTATACTCGGCCTCAGCACTCGATCTAGCCACAACTTTCTGCTTCTTGCTCTTCCACGTAACAAGATTACCTCCTACAAAGGTAAAGTACCCTGAAGTCGACCTTCTATCAGTAACACTCCCAGCCCAATCTGCATCCGTAAAACAACAAACTTCGAGACAATCATTGTGTTTAGAAAAAAACACTCCTCTTCCTGGGGATGACTTCAAGTATCTCAAAATTCTGATTACTGCATCCATGTGACTCGTACTTGGATTATGCATGAACTGACTCACCACGTTGACAGCATAAGCCACATCTGGTCTAGTATGAGCCAAATAGATTAAACGTCCAACTAATCTCTGATAGCGAGCTCGATCAGTCGGTATTTGGTCTGGATACTCTGCTAAACAATGATTCTGTTCAATAGGAGTGTCAACAGGTTTGCAATCCAACATGCCAGTTTCTGCCAGCAGGTCAAGAATATACTTCCGTTGACACAAATAGATTCCTTCACTCCCCCTTGCTACCTCAATCCCTAAGAAATACTTAAGTTCTCCCAAGTCTTTCATTTCAAACTCAGAGGCCAACTGTTTCTTCAATCTATCAACCTCAATAGTGTCATCACCTGTGATTACCATATCGTCAACGTAAATAATCAATGCTGTTACCTTTCCTTGTTGGTGCTTCAGAAATAGAGAATGGTCTGAGTTACTTTGTCTATAACCCACCTTCTTCATGAATTGTGAGAATCTTCCAAACCATGCGCGAGGAGACTGTTTGAGCCCATATAATGATTTCTCCAATTTACAGACAAAATCACCAGAAGAAGCTGCCACATACCCTGGTGGGAGAGCCATGTAAACTTCCTGAGCCAATTCTCCATGAAGAAAGGCATTCTTGACATCAAACTGTTGAAGAGGCCAATTAAAAATCGCCGCAAGAGATAGTAGAACCCGAATAGTATTCATTTTTGCGACAGGAGCAAATGTCTCATCGTAATCTATCCCATATGTTTGAGTGAACCCCTGGGCTACAAGACGGGCTTTATACCGATTTACAGATCCATCCGCATTGTGCTTTACCGTAAACACCCAACGACAACCTACGATCCTCTTGCCTTGTGGCGAGGAAACAAGTTGCCAAGTATTATTTTTCTGCAACGCCTCCATCTCTTCCTCCATTGCCCTTCTCCACTTAGGATCATCTAAGGCATCCTGCACTTTGTTAGGAACTGATACAGCAGATATTTGATTCACAAATGATTCATATGACTTAGATAATCTACTAGTGGAAATGTAATTTGCAACTGGATACTTTGATTTGGCATGAAGGGAAGGTTCATATCTTTTGGCTGGCTGACCACGGGTTGACCGATTAGGTAACACACTAGACTCATTACTAGTAGTACTAGTGGGGGAACATACCTCGAATGAGTGATCTTCAGCACCAGGAGGAAGTTGTGGATCGGGGGTATGAGCAGTAGTAGAGGGGGCAGTCATGAGTTCTTGTGTCTGAACTGGTGTTTGAATCGGGTGTGGATTTTCTTCTACCTGTGGATTTTCCTCCTCACTATGAGATAGCTCTTCAAAATACGAATTCTCCCCCTGAAGAGCAGAGTCAGATGAGGAGAAATAACTCATGTCTTCAAAGAAAGTAACATCCATAGTGACATAATACTTGCGAGTAGGTGGATGATAACACTTGTACCCCTTCTGAGATCCTCCATAACCAACAAACACACACTTAATCGCTCGGGCATCTAACTTTGACCTTTGATTTTTAGGAATATGAACAAAGACAACACAACCAAAGACACGAGCTGGAAGGTTATGAAATGACGGTAACGACACATGAGATGCAAGTGCCTCGAGTGGAATCTTTCCCTGAAGTACACTAGAAGGAAGGCGATTAATAAGATAGGAGGAAGCTTGTACAGCATCGCCCCAAAGGTATTTAGGCATATGAGCACAAAAGAGAAGGGCACGAGTCATATCAAGCAAGTGACGATTTTTTCTTTCAGAAACTCCATTTTGTTCTGGTGTTTGAGGACACGTGGTTTGATGAATAATACCATGCGTTTGAAGAAATTCGCGGAAGGCATTATTGACAAATTCCCCCCCATTATCAGATCGAAGAATTTTAATGGTACTGTTATATTGTGTATGAATAAGATTGCGAAAAGCTTGAAAGGCTGAAAAGACTTCATCTTTGGTTTTAAGTAGAACTACCCATGACAGTCTTGTACAATCATCAATGAATAACACAAAATATCGCATACCTGAAACAGTAGACTCTCTAGAGGGCCCCCAAACGTCAGAATGAATTAAAGCAAAAGGAATAACACTTTTATTAGAAAGACTGGAAGAATAAGTAGCACGATGACTCTTAGCCAAAACACAAGTTTCACAACATAAAACAGATTCATCAACACCAATAAATAGAGTAGGCATAGTTTTTTTCATAACACTGAAAGAGGGATGCCCTAAACGGCGATGCCACAACCAAACTTCACTTAATTTATCAGAATTCGAGATCAAAGCGGCATGGGATTGTGCTCCTGGTCTCTCCCCAGCGTACATCTGATCCAGATGAAATAATCTGCCCCTCAGATACCCCCTTCCAATTACCTCCCTGGTTAGAAGATCCTGAAAAAGTACATACATGGGATAAAAGGTCACAGAGCATTTGGATTCAGTATTTAATTGGGGAACAGATAATAAGTGATGAGATAATGCAGGAACATATAGAACATGATGAAGTTCTAAAGTCGGGGTAATACGGACAGATCCTGTTCCTAACACAGGAAAAGCTTCACCATTGGCATTAGTAACATGAGACACTGGTGGGGGAGACAACTCAGTAAAATAAGATTTATCATAAGTCATATGATCGGATGCACCAGAATCAATAATCCAAGTATCAGAATTAAATACTTTTAACGTCATACCAATTTTACCTCGACCAGCTATTGATGCGGTGGGAGTAGCCCCTCCTGATGAGTGATGATCCTGTCCAGTTATGCCATAGAAATCTGATTCTGGAACCAACTGAACGGTAGCAACTTTTCCTTTATTACGATAACCCTGCTTCTGAGGTTTAAGATGCGGATTTAGCTTCCAACATGTTTCTCGAACATGCCCTAATTCATTACAGTAGGTACATTTTGGACGGTTGTAGCCTGGTGGAGGTCGTTGCTGATGAAGTGGAAGTGACCCTTGTTGTTGATTATAGGGTGCTGGTGGCTTGGACTGAATGCCAGATGGGTTGGACTGAATTGCCAGACTGGAAACTTCAACATGTGCACGTTGGAGACTGTCTTGTTGGGATTCATCCTTGCGGATGTATGCAAATGCTGCAGTCAGACTAGGAGGTTCAGGCATTCTGAGCAGTTCTCCTTTAGCACTACTATGTTTAGCGTCGAGTCCTCCTAAGAAGGCATGAACCCGCTCAAGTTCCTTTTCCCTTTGGTACCACGCAATATCCTCGGGATTCTTGATTTTACAAGGACGTTTCTGATCAATTTCGGCCCATACATTCTTCAATTTAGTGAAAAACACTGACACTGGTTGTCCATTTTGTTGCATTCTGGCAACTTTGCACATTAATTCATGAACCTGTATGAAGTCAGATTCATTGGTGTAGAGATCCCCCAACGTCTTCCATATTGCTTCAGCGGTTTCACACTCCTCTACCATCTGTAACACATCATCAGTCATTGCCTTGTACAATACAGACATCACATACCCATCATCATCTTCCCATTTATCGAAAGCTTCAGTATCAGCTTCACTGGGAGCATTGATTGTTCCATTGACATGCCCCATCTTATGTATCCCGCGGAGAAAAGCGGACATAATTTTCTTCCAAGTACGAAAATTAGTACCATTAAGTTTGGTACCTCCAAAGGAACTCCCTCCAGAACTTCGAACAGATACCTCGACCTTTTGAATTTGTGATTCACCCATTAATATTGGGCGTGAAAGACTCTAATCGTGATGATTCGAACGCTGGAATGAATGCAACAAAGAGTTGCGAGATGACGGGGATAAAGACGGCCGTTCAAGGACGACGAAGCCTAGATGAACCCTAACACAACGAGATCTATAAGCTCTGATACCAAGTCAAATATTAGAGAGAGATATTTGAGAGAATGAATTGAATTCCAATGTCTTAACATAATACAAAGGACCCTTTATATAGGGCTTGAAAGAAATTTAGGAAAGAAACTAATTACCTAATTACAGGAGGAAACTTCCTCTAATCAACTACGTGATTAATACCCATAATTACAATATTATTTACTTCCTATTATAGATTACTTCCTAATATAGACTCACGCTAACAGATCAACCTGTTAAGTATATGCTTGTGCAAATTCAGTAGTCAGTAGATGATATAATGATAGAAAGGGTCTCAAAAGATATTTTTAGGCCACGAATCCAATCATCCGTAATTGATTTCCACTGTTATTCATTCTTTTGGAAAAATAAATTTGGTTACCTCCAATATCTCAATGATCCAACCACTAACTATATGTTTGATGTAGATCGATGATTACCAAAGAATTAATGAATCTATATATTGATGTTTCTAATATCTACAATGGAGGTATGATAATGTAAACTCTGAAAATTCACAAGATATGTATGAGAAGAAACGCAATAGCAGTAACTTTGAAATACAGAAATAGTATATATCCTCAAACTATATAAGATGTACTTCATACTTCTAAAAAAATATTTTCATATTATTTTATTAAAATATTCCATTTTAAAAAATTATTTTTATTTATCCCGCTAAAATATCATTCTAATAAAAAATTATTTTACTTTAACAATTATCTCAAAATGTTCCAATTAAACGGCCGCCTTTCATTTTAACTGGGCCTAAGCCGCTAAACAAGGCCTGGCCCATTTATTTCCCTTCCCTCAGTGAGCAACGAACGCTGACGCTAAAAATCATCGCAAGTCGAAAAATGGTAGCAGCAGCAAAAGCCCTAACTCTCGATAAAACCCTGCTTATGCTCCTCCTCTTCTTCAACCAAGAATGCTCTCTCGCCTCTTCTCTCGATCTCTCGCTTCCCGCTTGAAAACCCTAACCCTAGTTCCCTCCTCATCCCCCCATTCCCCCATCATCACCTCTCCTCGCTTCTATCTCCTCGATCCAAACCCTAACCCCTCGCTCTTCCTGCGATCCCTCCGCCCCTTCAGCTCCAAAGGGAATGGCGACGGCGACGGGCCGTGGAATTTCCCGCCGGAATCCGAGTCGGTCTTCGGCGAGGAGATCGAGGCTCCGGTTGGAGCGAAGGGGTCTGAGGTGAAGGGAGGCGATCCGTGGATGGAGGAACCGAAAGGAGACATCTTTGAGGGGATCGATAAGGAGACGATGCCGAAGGACAGGGGAGTTGGCGATTGGGAGACGGCAGAGGGTTTTGAGCCGTGGAGTGTGGGTGGTGATGCTGATGGGAAGGATGACGTGTTTGGGATTGGGGATGCGGAGACTGTAGGGTTTGAAGGGCTCGAAATGGCTGAGGAGGGACAGGGGAAGAGCGAGGAGATGATGGAGTTGGAGAGGAAAGAGCAGGATTTGTTAGCTACACTGAAAGGTAATTGGAATTTGTACTTCAGTTTGTTCTTTTTTTCCCCATGTTCTATATGGAAGTATGATCCTTGCTGTGTTGGATGATGTAAATTTTTCGTAGGAAGAAGTCCATCGGTACAGATTGGAGCTTGAGTGGGTGTTGATAAAGAATGTTATGTCTAAATCTAATTGTTCTCTTCTAAGACAGTTGCATGGTAATTAGAATAACACAGGAGAGTGAATACAGAAGATGACTAGAATTCGTTGAATCCCATACTTAAAGAGAGATAGAGGTAGGTATAAGTGATGAAAAATGATGGGTGACACTTTCAAGCGCTGATTATCACATTTAAGCATAAATGGAATCAAATATTTTTCTTGTTGTCAGACTGTTACGATCAAATTAGTATCTAATGTGCTGCCATGTTAATTAAGAGTAACATAGGAGAGTGAAGCGAAAGTGTTATCAGGGAACCAATTGGTTCCTGTTTTCTTTTCAGGAAAGAGCAAATTGAAAGAAAGTTTGCCATGAGTGTCCTCCACGTAATAAAAAGGTTGTGAGGTTTGTGGTAGAGTTGTTTTTATAGTTGAATCCACTAAATAAGTAAATATCATTCTGAGTTATGAGGTAATGAAATAGTTTCTTTTACCCAAAAAAAAAGAAGGAAAAGAAAAGAAAAGAAAAGAAATAGTTTCCGGTAGTCCAGAGTGACATAATTTTAAAGGGGAAACAACTCTTAGCCAACAAACTATGGGGAGTTTGGGGATAAATAGAGTGCTCATCTTAGAAGCATTGCCTAACTAGAAATACGAGAGGACTTTAGTAGAAGAAAATTTTTATGCTCCAATGCTGAATTTTGCATGCATATTTGGAAATTAATAGTAAATACTATATTATTTCGAGAGGTCAATGAATTGCAGCATATTCATTAGATTCGGAGAAACAAAAAACAATGATGTGTTATTCATAATGTTGAGTGTGTCATCATAGCCTAACTGCCCAAATGTAACTGGAAATTAAAAACTTATATAAAATCCTCTTTGTTTCTTGTCTCGGTGAACTAAGTGAACTTTCCCATCCTTAGATCTGCTCTTTTCCAGCTTTGTGTGTGTGTGTGTGTGTGTTTTCTTTTGTGGTGTGCGCACGCGCATGTATGCTTTTTGTTTGTTGTATTATTGTGAGTTTGCATACTTTACACACAAATGCTATGTACATCTCTTAACCACTGTTTACTCCTCTAGTTACTCAACAATGATACATTGTTCCCTTGACATAATTTAGGACAGAAACATTGGTTTTTCAAGCTGAATATGCAGTTATTAAGGGCACATATGACAACTTCACACTAATCCGGTTAACGCTTTAAGTGGGTTAGGATTAAACCAAGGGGTGTTCCAAAGATAACCTAGTTAAGGGTTTTTTTAAACTAAAAAAGTACTCCAATCTTGCACAAGCTTTTGCCAAACACAATTTAAGCCCTTGGATCCTTATCCTAGTTATTAGGTGAGTTGCCAAACAAGGCCTAAAATTTGTTCTTCCAGATTCGGCTTTTGAAGTTTAATAATGTGTGTGGGATCATACCAACATCTTTTACCTTCAAGGTTTTCTCTTGATAGATTAATGATATCACTAGGGTCTCCTTTGACCAGTCTACTTAAACTTCTTCTGACATATAAAGTGAAGATCATAGATTTATTGATTACACGCTGGTTGTATACCATACCAAATCTGGAGTCATCATCCTGTCTTTCTTATCACGCACTTGTTCAGCATATGTTCAACATTATTCTCACTATTTCTTGTCCATTTTTGTTTACATATTTTGTAGTGCTAACCACCAATTTATGATGCTCCTTTTGTATTATTAGGTGCCTTTAGTCCCACGGTATTGATATGTGGTTAACCGACTGGAAGTGAAAATCTCTTACCCTTTGAATCCTCCACTTGTTTTTGAATCTTGATTCTATCTAGTTTCTTAACACATTCCAAGTTCAACTGTGATGCTGAATGCTTCCTTAAATCCAACATGCCCATTAACAAGCATTTACTATGTAAAATGAGTAATTGAATTTGAATTTGTGGACGTTGATGAGATGTCCAGCATTCACATGAATCTCTATGGTAGAATTAAGCTATTATTTGGTGAAATAAGATCTTAAATAGCAAGTTTCCTTCACCTTGAGCCTTGAGGTGGCACTGAGGAAACTGGAAAGCTGTTGCTCTTTAAAGAATTTTAGTGGATTGTGAATTGTTTTGGATTCATCATAGGATGCTGTAATCTTGGGCATGATAGTATTAGTTGGTGTCTAGCTTTAGCCATTTTAGTCTTCAAAATTCCATATTTTGCTTAAGCTTTTATCGCTGTGGATACTGTTGAGCTCTTCTCTTCACTAGTTTTCATATATTCTGCTGTTAACAATAGCTAATCTACAGAAAGTAGCATAGAAATTGAGTCCTAAGAAGGGCTGTGAACCTCAGCAATCTATTTCAGTTGTATACATAGCATGCATCATCGTAGGATGGAGTTCTTATTCACTTCAAACTAGATGTTTTCTCGTTTAGCTCCTTGTATTAGATGATGAGCCAGAAAATGGGGATTCAATTTTCAACTAAATATTCCATTGTGATTTGGTGAGGAAAATGGTCCATTGGCCACCTTTACACTAGAATATTTTAACTTGTAAAAAGTAGCACATAAATCCCTTAAGTTGTCCACTGTTAGAATATGGTAAACAATGTTAAAAAAAACTTGTTATGACAAAAATACCCCTCCACAGAAATTTAATAAAAAGATGGATGGTAGTTGTAGTGGTAAATACTATAGTAAATGTGGTCTATATAAATATAAAAATGGTATGTGCTAATCACATGAGAAAATTCCTAGAAATATTCCAACATGTAACTAACAGAAGGTACTAACATGCCAGATTTTTACAAATTAGGGTATTAAAGTGCTATTTTATACAAATTAGGGTATTTAAGTGTAAAGATGGTGAAACAATAGGGTATTTTAAGTGCCATTTACCATCGTTTTATTGATGCATCTTGCAGTTGTGTTTTTGTTTGCTATTTGTGGTCTAGACATTTGGTACCGTGGCCACCCAGGTTATTCATTGTCATGATTTTATTTCTGGTTTGTGTGAGCATTTATGAACTTGGTGCAATGTCTTTTTCTTTTTGGAGGTAATATGTCAAATAAGGCAATGCTGGTGATTCCAATTGGTAGTAAACCTTCAAAGAACAAGTTATTAGAGGAGCTGTGAGCATGTGGTTCTTCGAGGAGTCTGCTTATATAGTTCTCACTTCTCATGTTGCTTATTTTACTTTCAAATTAATTAGTTATTTTTCTCTCTATCAAAAAATGGAAAGTACGTAGTTCTGCCATGTTTGTTTCCTGACATTTCCCCTGTTTAATTGATTGGTTTTACCACTTGTATTTGTCTTCAAGAGGATTTAACATGTTGGAAAAACACAACATGAGAATAGGAGATAATCCCGAGTTTTGTATATTAACTATACCCTATTCTTTTGGATCTTAGTTTTTCTTAATATATCCTCTTGGCACTTAAGATAGCTTTTCTTTACTTTCCCCCTCTCGTTGTGAGTACATTCTTCAGTTAGTATTTTGAACTTTAAATAGCTTTTAACACAGCATATGCCGCTGCATTGTGAAACTGCAAATGTATAATAGACCATGGTGACTTTTTATCTTCTATGTTTGAAAATGCAGGTCCTAGCCGGGCATTTGGAGACCTTATTGCAGCCTCTGGTATAACTGAGGATATGATTGACAGTTTGATTCTTTTAAAGGATGTCAGAGGCATCCCCGGATTGCCTCCCCTTCAAGAAATAGAAGATAAAGCAATAGAAAGACTGAATGCAACATCAACTAGAGCTGAAATAGAGCGGAAAAAACAAGAAGAAATTGCAAAGGCACGAGTTAGACGGGTTGACGAGAAAGGAAGGGCTTATGGAACAGGAAGAAGGAAATGCAGTATAGCCCGTGTCTGGATTAACCCTGGAGATGGAAAATTCATTGTTAATGATAAGCAGTTTGATGTTTACTTCCCAATTCTTGATCATCGAGCTGAGCTTCTTCGTCCATTCACTGTGACAAATAGCTTGGGCCTCTGGGACGTCAAATGTACTGTTAAAGGAGGTGGTGTCTCAGGTAGCATACTATCTATGGTTTAATTTGCAATTATACACATGAAATTTAGTACAAGCCAATGTCACCTGTCATCGTGGTTTTCTGCTGTTTTTGGTGAGATATAGGTCTTGCTTGCGTTAGTGTCCGTTTCCTATAATCATTACAGATACTGCTAACTTCATCAATTGAGGTTCATGATAATATGGAAATAATTGTTTAAAGACATCGTTGATGTCTCAAACTTGTACTTTTCCCTTTGTGCACAGAAGAACTATACAAATAATTTTGTTTGAACTGCAGGTCAGGTGGGAGCAATTAGGTTAGGAATTAGCAGGGCCTTGCAGAACTGGGAGCCAGGGCTTCGACCATACCTCAAATCAGGTAATATATCATATAAAAGTAAAATGCAGAATTGGGTTTCATTTTCCATTCATTTCATGTTCCTAGAAAATAAAATTCTTTGGGCTTGGAAGCAAAATGCTCCTTTTGAGTTAATTAGCAAGTTAAACTGCAACCTACATCTCCCTAATTTTAAATGAACACTTGAGCATAAGGATGCATTGTAAATTTCATATGTTTTCAGTAATCGTTCACATTTTGCTAACTTCGCTGTGAACCTATCCAGCTGGATATTTGACAAGGGATGCCCGTGTGGTAGAAAGAAAGAAATATGGAAAAGCCAAAGCTAGGAAGAGTTTCCAATGGGTCAAGCGATGAGCTACAGGTATCTGCCTTCTCTCTTGATTTTCTGCTGATACAATTGGTGAGGGTAGTGATTTCTTCATCTAGTGAGCTTGTGACGTCTCCAGCTTGAGTTTAGGGTAAATTACACATAAACCCCCTCATCTATACCTTCTGCACTGGCTAACACCCCTCAACTAAGTTTTTAGCACTTAGCCTCCCTCAATTCATGAGAGGGGGTGTGTACATGCAAATTATCCTTCTATTTTCTGAAAATGGCAATCCATGGTTGCTAAGTCATAATATATTTGAGGGGTGATAAATGGTACTAGAGGTACAGATTTTTTTTCTTTCTTTTTTTGGGTTCTTCGTCATCGGATGCCTGGAGTTTTTGTTTGTTATGCTCTTATGTTGCAAGATACAGCCATTTTGGAGCTGCTTATGGGCTTGGAGATTGTGTTGTCTGAATGCAAAGCGCAGAGGAGGTATTCAAGCCAGTGTCAGCTATTATACTGATGCAATCTTTTGTGACTAGCTATTGAGTTCAATAAAAATGTGTACCATTAATGCTCTCATTGTTGCAGTATAGAGGAAGCCCATTCTAGTTTTGCTGTTCCTGTTTTCTCTTCCGCAAGCATAAAACTTGTTCATTGCTGAGGGTTGCACTAATTGAGATGTGTTGATAAATTATTACTGGGTTTTTATCAGGTTGATTGTGTGTAATGCTCTTTTCTGGAGGAAACGCTATTTTTGTCTTCGAATTGTGCATTTTTGCAGCAATATTTTTAGTAATTTTTATGAATATGTTCAAATATCTTAATACTGCTTGTTATTTGTATTTTCTTTTTTTATTTATTCCCCTCTTCATTTTTTTTAAATAGTGTTCATTGATATGCTTGATAGAATGATTCGCTTTTAACAAACTAGAAAATTTTTGTTTAGAATATTTTTGTTTTTGCCTTGTTTCCGCACGAGTCAATGTTAGATTTCATTTTTTAGGGGAAATTTTGAAGTTATAATACCAAAAAGTGAAATTATCGAATGAAGTCCGGGAAAAAAACCCTTGTGAAAGCTATAATTTTAGAGGGATTTTGATTAGAAGATTTTCATAAAATAAGTTCTATTTTTCAAGAACATGAAGAAGCGGATCATATCGAGAAGGTATTAATAAAATAAAGAGTCATGTTTTGACTATCGCATTCCATTATTATGTCCATATTTGATTTGACCTTAAACCCAACAGACTTGCATTGGATCCTTGGCTCTAGAGAATCTCAGCAGACTGCGGATCCAAAAGACTCTGAATCGATCCAAACAGGATCCAACGAGCTTATCGGGTTTGGTCAGCGCTTACAATCCGCTAACAGACGCAACGAGTTAGGCTCCGTTTGGATACCATAATGTTTTACGAATAATTTTTCAAAACAGGCCGATTTAGCTTTTTATTTTTCAAAATCGACCGTTTTTTTTATTTATCAAAATCGACATGGTTTTGTGATTAGCAGGTTAATCACTATCCTAAATAGTCGGGGTTGCCAACCCCGACTATTTAGGAGGGTGTTAAACCCTAATTAAAGGCTTTAAACCCTAAAAATTAATGTCCTAATTAGTCGGGGTTGGCAACCCCGACTATTTAGGATAGTGATTAGCCTGCTAATCACAAAACCGGGTCGATTTTGATAAATAAAAAAAAACGGTCGATTTTGAAAAATAAAAAACTAAATCGGCCTATTTTGAAAAATTGTCCAATGTTTTACATGTTTTTATGGTATTTATGCTAAACACTAAATACCATGTGTTTGGAAATCATTGTGTTTTTTGAGCGAAATCATCACCAAACAAAAAATACAATACTTATTTCAAAACACTTTTTAAATATTTGAAGTTCGTTGTTTTTGGTTTTGAGTTTGAGGATGTGTTAATATATATCTAACATAATCTATTAAATATTTATATCATAATATAATAATATTTATTTATAGGGAAAAATGTGTCCAGGCCTCAAAAGCAGAAAGTTCATGTGACCCGCCCCCTTATATTTTGCCCCATGTGATTCAGCCCCAAAAAGTACCATTTAATATTTCAAGGCCCCTCCACGTCAGCAGTATAAAAAAAGAGATTGTATTTTGAAAAAAAAACCCGAAATTACCCCTTCACTTATCTTCCCTAGACGTCTGGTCCACAAAATACATGGAAAGTCACGCCCATTAATGCGATCTAATGGAAAAAATAGAGAGAAATTTCTCGCCCTTTTTTAAACTCTATCATGAGTAATAACTCATGTTAGTTCTAAGTTATTTAATGTTAGTTCTAAGTTATTTAATGTTAGTTCTAACTTATTTTATGTTAGTTCTAATTTAGTTCTAATTCATGTTAGAGCTAATTTTAAGTAGAACTAATATAAATACTTTAGGCTATTTGGTCTAGTGGTAAATCTTATTTTATATTAGTTCTAACTTATTTTAAGTTAGTTCTAACTTAGTTCTAATTCATGTTAGAGCTAACTTTAAGTAGAACTAATATGTTTATACCATGTTATAATGGCTATGTTAGTTCTAGTTAAGCTCATGTTAGTTCTGGTGGTTCTTGTGTTAGTTCTAGTTGATTTCATGTTAGTTCTACTTCCAGCTAGTGTTGGTTCTAATATAAGCGTTAGTTCTAGTGGTTATATTAGTTCTAGTTGAGCTCCTGTTAGAACTGACACGATACCTGTTAGAATTGATACTGGAGAAGTTAGAACTAACACATCATCAAGTAGAACTAACATGACGTTTAGACCTAACAATTACGCTAGAACTGACGACTTAAATAAATTAGAACTAACACGATACCAGTTAGAACTAACACTGAAGAAGCTAGAACTAACACATCATTAAGTAGAACTAACATAGCGTTTAGACCCAACAATTACGTAGAACTAATGACTTAAATAAATTACAACTAACACGATATCTGTTAGAACTAACACTAGAACTAACACATTAAATAAATTAGAACTAACACGAGCTGGTAAAAATTAGAACTAACCATATTAGTTCTAATTTATACAAAATTAGTTCTATTTTATAACAAGTTAGTTCTAATTTATACTAAATTAGTTCTATTTATACCACGTTATAGTTTTTATACTACGTTATAGTTTAATTTTATACCACATTATATCTAATTTATACCAAGTTAGTTCTATTTTATACCAAATTAGTTCTAATTCTATACCACGTTAGTTCTAATTTTATACCACGTTAGTTCTAATTTATACCAAGTTAGTTCTAATTTATACAAGTTAGTTCTATTTTATAACAAGCTATCTCTAAATTATACAATGTTAGTTCTATTCTGGAGCGTGTTAGTTCTAATCTATACCATGTTAGTTCTATTCTGTAGCTTGTTAGTTCTAATCTACATCATGTTAGTTCTATTCTGTAGAGTGTTAGTTCTAATCTACACAGTGTTAGTTCTATTCTGTAGAGTGTTAGTTCTAATCTGCACAGTGTTAGTTCTATTCTGTAGAGTGTTAGTTCTATTCTGCACAGTGTTAGTTCCGTTCTGTAGAGTGTTAGTTCTAATCTGCATAGTGTTAGTTCTATTCTGTAGCGTGTGATGGCTTGTTAGTTCTATTTTATTACACGTTATATCTAATTTATACCACGTTATATCTAATTTATGTTAGTTCTATTTTATACCAAGTTATAAACCTAATTTATACCACGTTATATCTCATTTATACCACGTTAGATCTAATTTACTAATTTATACCAAGTTAGTTCTATTTTATACCACGTTATAAACCTAATTTATACCACGTTAGATCTAATTTATACCAAGTTAGTTCTATTTTATACCAAGTTAGCTCTAATTTTAACCACGTTAGTTCTAATTTATACCACGTTAGTTCTAATTTATACCAAGTTAGTTCTAATTTATATAATGTTAGTTCTATTTTATACCAAGTTAGTTCTATTTTATACCACGTTAGTTCTATTAAGCCTAAGTTAGTCTATTTTTAAAAATTTAGTATTCTAATTATACCAATTATCCTATCTTATTACAATAGTCAATTTAACCACCATTAGTTCTAATTATCACAATTAGTTCTAATTTATACCTAAGTTAATTAGTTCTATTTTAACAAGTTACTTCTAATTTAACCACATTTACGTTAGAACTACAGCATTAAATAATTAGACTACACACTGTAAAAATTAGAACTAACATGAGCTTCGATAGAACAAACAGACCTAACTCTAGTTACTTTATGCCGCTTTTTTAAACTCTATCATAGCTAACTCTTGTTATTCTTAAGCTTATTGTCATGTTGTTCTAACTTATTTCATGTTAGTGCTCTAACTTATTTTATTTAGTTCTAATGCAAATAAGAGCTAACTTTAAGTGAACTAAAATTAACACTTTTGCTATTTGTCAAGTATTAAAGCTTGGAATTTGAGAGGATATCAGGAGTTCAAACCACTAACCTACGAAATATAATTTAAAGTCTTTGATTGGGCTTGGGCTTGGGCTCTTGGGGCAGTTCTAAGCTAATTTTATGGTTTGGTTCTAAGCTTACTCTTTTTTATTTTCTAACTCACTGTTTCATGTTAGTTCTAACGTTTGCTTTTTGTTAGTTCTAACTCATACAAAGTTATTGTAAACGTACCTTTGTTAGTATCTAACTTGCCTTTGTTAGTCAAACTCACTCATGTTAGTTCTAGTTTAATTCATGTTAGCTTCTAATCTTCTTTGTCTAACCACTGCATGTAGTTCTAGTTCTAATTATGTTAGTTCTAACCCACTACATGTTATGTTCTAATTCATGTTAGTTTAGGCTCTTGTGCCTATGTTAGTCTTCGAACTCCATTATGTTGATGTAACATCATTCAAGTTAAGTTTAGTTCTACTCATGTAGTTATTTCACCACTAAAAAACTATAGACAATGTGGAGTACCACAATCTCATACTGATTTATTACTCAAACCATGCCTTCTCAGGGAATAACTGTGCACAGGAAGTGTTGAAAGGAAACAACAAAAATTTTCTTCAAATACTAAGAGGGATTTATGCGCAGAGCCGTCGCATACTGTGATTTGGTCGATTCTGTGCAAGCATGGCAATCTTAATTGCTGGATTAAACTTTAAGAATGAATTCTTAAAATGGGTTCATCTGATATGGTTGTTTATCAATGTTCTCATAAAGAAGGTAGAACGGACAAGAATAGAATAAACATGGCAGCTGAACAGAACTAACGAGTGGAGATAACAAACTACCATGAAAGCGGGTAGAACTTAAATAAGAATGACAACACTAACAGTCCAGTCCTCAGAACTAACAGTCCAGCCTTTAGAACTAACAGTTCAGCCCTTAGAACTAACATTCATAGTTCTAATTTTCTTTGTCCCCTCTTTCAAATTCACAGTTTCTTAGATTCTTTAGTCGACTTTTAATCACATTATCTACAATTTTTAGCTAAATGTCGATATGCCTGAAGATTCAATGTGAGCTTTTGAAAATTTCTGTTGTTAATCTTACAAAAATCCAATATCGATTCCCTTCATAAATTACAAGAAAACAAGAGCACTATCTTAATTAAGACATTGATTTGGGTAAAGATATTCCGTAACTTAGAAAAGGGAGAATAACGATGTATCGGACCAAAGCTCCGGGCTCCGTCAGCTCGCGAGTCCCACCGGACCATGTTCCGTGTTTGTCGTTGAACCCGCGTTCACGAGCTGTTTCTAAGATGACTCCCCGACCTCCGACTCCATGACCACCGTCCTCGCCTTCGCCTTCCACGACCTCTCCAAGGTCTGATCATTTTCAGTGGCCATGACGGAGGTGAGAGAGAAGGAGAAGGGCCTTCCCAAAACCTGATCATTTTCAGTGGCCATGGCAAGTGAGAGAAGGAGAAGTTGAGAGAGAGAGAGAGAGAGAGAGAGAGAGAGAGAGAGATGGGATGGGGTTAAAGGGATGGGCGCAGTTACCAAGCTCAATCAAATCAAAGGGTAAATTTGTAACTTTTGTTGAGCTTTTCTCAGGATCTGATACTTTGGGGCCTTAACACAAATACAGTGTGTATTTGGGGCTTATACACATGGGTCAGAATACAAGGGGACGGGTCACATGAACTTTCTGCTTTTGGGGCATGGACACATTTTTCCCTTATTTATATCATAAATTATTAATATATTATTAAAATATTGTTAATGAACTCTTAACATATTAGAAAATATAATATATTATATAATATTAAAATATTTATAATATATAAATTTATTAACAATATACTAGTAATAACATAATATTAATATTATTGATAATATTATATTATATTAATAATAGTATAATATTATATTAATAATAAAATAATATAATATAAAAATATTATATAATATATAACAATAACAAATTATATAATATTAAAATTAATATGTAATAATTATAATATAATATAACTCATTAAAGTATAATATAATATTATAATATATTATACAATATTATATTTAATATTTATAATGCTATAATAATATAAGCTAAATACTATAACATTTTATTTATGATATATTTTATTATAATTAATATATAATAATAATATGTTTAATATTAATATTATAATAAGTCAAACTAATGAACAAAAATAATATATATGATGTTTTGAAAATACTTTAAAAAAATACTAACATCATGATATTTTTTTATAAAAACAAAACAAGAAATACACGTGTTATCCGAAGCAAAACAAAAACTGAGCTTTGCTACAGGGACCCAAAATATGGGATCAATAGGGGGACAAATGAAGTGTCGCCCTCTTATTAGATAATGAGTTGGTCATCATTAATGATGACCAACTCATTATCCAATAGGAATGAGACACCTCACTTATCCCCCTATTGGTCCTATATTTTTGGTCCTCAACGAGTTTTTGATAAAAACTCGGTAGTAGACAGTGACATCGTAGAATCCACCAACCAATGCAAAAGTGGAAGAAACAAAAACATTCAATCATCAAAATCCCAAAAATATTCTAATCTTCAGGTTCTCGCACAATCTCATTTTTTCCCCTCTCATAGTTACATGTTAATTGTCCATTCTACTAGCATCAAACCCATATAATTCTTTTCTTTTCCTTCAAATTTTCTTCATTTTTTGCAATTGGGTTTCCTATAAACACCTCAATTATTCAATTAATATCTTTTTCTGTTATTTTACAGGAGCAATTTGGCAGTGGAGGATACCCATCTGGGATTTTAGGGTTTTTCTCAACTAACCCATTATAGAATTTAAGTGGGTTTCTGTTCCATTTTTGTAATCTCTGCTTGCTGTCATGTTTGCTTCACTGATTAATCTTTCCTACTTGCATATAGAAGAGTTCTTAACCTTAGCTGGCCTTTGGTTTCTCCTCTTCTGGCTGTAGTATATATTAACATTCCAAACTTAAATTCTATTACCATTACAAGTTTGATTCTCAAATACATGGCCACTAATTCATGGATTAGTACCCACACATCTAAAACCCTTGTATCTGCTGTTAATTTCAACCTTGCTAGAGTGAAAGCAAGCTCTTCAGATAGTACCGAGATTTCGACAACCTCTTCAAATAGAAAAAGCCTGGCTAGATTAGTCCTTGATGCCCCCCGAACTATTTGGAGCCGGGCATTGCAGCCGATGAGTGATTCGGGGTTCGGTCCGAGGAGTGTGTGGGAGGGTGGTGTCGGGCTTTTTCTTGTCTCTGGAATGGCTCTTCTTGCTCTTACTTTGGCTTGGTTAAAAGGGTTTCAATGGAGGTCGAGGTTTAGGAAGTATCGAGCGGTGTTTGAGTTCTCTCAGGCTTGTGGGATTTGCGTTGGGACGCCTGTGAGGATCCGAGGAGTTACTGTTGGCAATGTCGTTCGTGTTGATTCTTCTTTGAAGTGTGTTGAAGCAGTTGCCGAGGTGCGTTGCTTGAATTTTGCAGTGATTTATACACATCAATACTCATTATTTGCTTCGTCCAGTCTAAAGATAGGTTGCTTGTTAGGATCATTGTGAACTCTGAATTAGTTGTTTGATTTCTGTAGTCTAGCTTTTGCCTTCCTTCAAAGGTGCGAGCAATAATACTCCATTTATTTTTTCTAATTGAGACTTTAAAAAGCTTTTCATATCCTAAATGAGAATTTCATTTTTATTCTGTAAGTATGCGTGAAGAGGAAAGACGGGATTCATGACATTGACTCGGGATTCATACCATAGATATCTGATTTTATTTTGGTAGTGGGCAACCTAATGCAACCTCTCTTGTTTACCCTGGCTCGGCTTGGGACTGATAGTGAAAGGAAAAAAGAATTGTGGCTTTCTATATTCAAAACATTTCATGTTTTGCTTATGTTAGTTTTAGGCTAAAGTGACCTCAGTGAGGAGATGTCCTAGATGTTGATTGAGACTTGAGAGAAAGGGAAGAAAGAAGAAATAATACTCAATGGACTTGCATGCAAATAAGAATCCAATAATAATGATAAATGGTTTAATACTGCTGCATGCTGAAGGTTATTTATTTAGAAAGGGCCAATATTGGTAGATCCCAAGTTAGGATCGATGCATATTTAACCTATCTCTTTTGTTTTCTCCTGTTCAATTAGACTCTCTAGAAATCACAATACTGTATGTTGTCCATATTGTTACGATTTCTCCCAAAAATATGTGATTTATGGTTTTAGTTTGTCATGAGAACATGGTAAATAAAGCTATCATGTTTAGCTCTTGTATTCTGGTTGCAATGCCCAGCCGATTTACATGGTTCATCCATTGCTATTTCAACATCCATGTGCTAGCTTCATCATTTTTCAGCCTGAACATAAAAGGAATCAAGTGTAAGATAAAGATCAATCAATAAATCCAGTAGCGTTGAATACATGGATATATTTTTTCCCTCGGCATCAGACAATGTGAACTGCAATCTTACTAATTGATTAAGCACTGAAGTTATCAGCGAAACAGGAATTCTTATGTATCAGTGTCTATCAAAATCAAAGTTCATATCAAAACATTTCTTAAAGATTGCTTGTAATGTTAAGGTTCGCCGTTGAAGTTGATTATTTTGTCAGGTTGAAGATGATAAAATTATAATACCTCGAAATTCATTTGTGGAGGCCAATCAGTCTGGCCTGCTTATGGAGACACTGATTGATATCACACCACGAGATCCTCTCCCAAAGCCATCCGTAGGTCCTCTGGAACCAGATTGTATCAAAGAAGGCCTTATTGTTTGTGACAGGGAGAGTATAAGAGGAGAGCAGGGTGTAAGCATTGATGAATTGGTCGGGATTGTCACCCAGCTTGCACGAGAAACAGATGAAATTGGTATCTCCAAGAGCTATGAATTAGCTGAAAAACTTGTATCTGTTATGAAAGAAGCACAACCTCTACTTGCAAAGGTGCAGTTATTTCTGTGCACTATCGTTTTTAGTATCTTACATGTTCTTAACTGTTTGACCATCTGTTTTCAATTTCATGTGTTTAACACCGTCTCCTATATGCTTCAAATAAATTGATCTTTTCAACACTTCATGGACTTGATATAGCAACAATAAATAGACTATCTTTATCACAAACATTTTAGGTCAGTGACAACGAATCCTACTCTTCTACTCAATTATGTTGAGGGTTATCTCCTCCGTTAAGCTAATCATTATTATATCCTTCTTAATAGCTTCTAACCAAGTTCTCTTAGGCATAGCTCTTAACCCCCTTTTTCTATTAAACATAATCTTATCAATTCTCCCAATTGTACATTTAATGGTCTCCCTTGCATTGCACATGATCAAAGATCTCAAGTGATTCCATCTCTCTTATTTTATCCTCGATAGGGGAAGAATTTCACTCATTTCTTGTCCTATATCTGACAGTGTATATTTACTCATTCATGTAACCTTCTCATTTCTGATGCATTCATTTTTACACATTTTTGTTAGTTGCTTGACATCTGATCTACTTGTGAGTTGAAGTCAATCTAAAAATATTATATTGCATGATCAGATGACGGAAAATGGGCCTTGGAGATAGGCAATATACAAATTAAAGTCTGAGCATTTTCCATTAATATTCTCTTTGGAAAGCTGATGTTGGAATTGTTTCGTTCCCTGCAATATCATATTAGCTCACTCTCACAAGCACAGATAATGTCATGGTGGTATTAACAAATCTCTAAAGGATGCAACTGTTGTGCGCGGCGCGGAAGCGGTCGAATAACACAATCCAAACAAGAGAGATCACAACCAAATAAACAAGCACAATCACCAATTAACACAAGAGATTTACGTGGTTCGGCAAGTTGCCTACGTCCACGGGGTAAGAAGGAGATGGGGTTTTCACTAATAGAGAAAGAGTACAAACTGAGATTACAAATCACTCGAAGGAATAAACTAATCTCACCAACAAGCTCTTAATCTCTCCAAACAAAACCCTAAACAAATAGCTCAGAAAATACCTCTTTTCTGTGCTCCAAATATCCCCAATTTTTCTTCTCCACCAATTTTCTCTTCCAATTGTTCCATATATATAGAAATCCTAAAATCATAAACATATTAGGAATTCTAAACCAAAACCAAATCAAATTAGGAATCCTAATAACCTATTACCAAAATAGATTAGGAATCCTAATAACCTCATGTTACCAAAATAGACTAGGAATCCTAATAACCTCATGTTACCAAAATAGATTAGGAATTCCCTATCCAACAATTCTCCACCTCGGCGAAGTTTTCCCAAAACTGAGCCGACACCGACCAAACCAAATGCCTCACTTGTTGCGTCCAGTACGAATGAAGCGATCCACAATACAACGGATCAATCCATACAATTCGATATATATATATTCACCCAAACGTCGTATCCACTCACCAAATCGCTGGCATCAAAACTGACTGCCTACGTATCCTCTTGCCAAGGAATCAAGCCTTCACGCTAGCTCACCAAATGGCCTCCAAAGACCTCAATCCACTAGAAGAGTTCGCAACCCTTCTCCATATCACGATCAAGTCTCGGCTGATAGCACCTCCAATGACTCAAACTGAACTAATCCAAACATCTCCACTGAGATGAACCAATGCCATATCCAGACTACATCCATCAGCTGTACTCGAATCAATCAACCTATCATCTGCATCTAAATCAACACGATTCCAATCTGTGTCACATCAGCTGGAATCCCAAATGATGCAGTATGATCTGGAGTTTCCTCCGCATATGGAGTAGCATCACTCTCCACCCGCTGCGATGTCCAAAGATCTGATCATCACTCTCCACCTGCCGAGAGTCAAACGTGACATACCTGCTCAGAACAAAGTCAGAAGCCAATACCTGATAATCAACACCCTCTGAATCCCAAATGTGCTATCGGATCAAATCTCACATCCACGATGTGACCGAGTGCTGGGTAGCCAAACATCCGACGCAACCCAAAATCTAAAGCAGCTCCACCAGATCCCATATCTATACATGCAGCAGTCGGTAACCTATACATGAGACGGCCCAAACATGTCGTAGCCTACACACCAATGCCAATGCTAGACATCAAACGTCGATACTCCTTCAGAAAGGAACAGCTGCCCAAATCTGCCATCTCGCCTTGTCGCCTCAAAGTTTCCACACTAATGAAGTGTCTCCTATTGCCGTGAGCTCGGCACAAATGCAAGAAAGAATCCCTACCATAATCAGAACGTCGGGTTACCTTTCTACCAACACACTTCCTCCATCTGTTGCGGGCTTCTAGGACTTCACACCAACGGGATTTGGTTGCAACCCACCAATGCCTAGAGCAATCCCCAACTGCGGAAACCACATACCTATTACCTCCCAATAATGCTTCCTTGGAAGGCTCCCGAATGCCTGAATAAACACCCCTCAGAAAACCCCTCGAATGATGGATAGAAGTGCCAAACTCCAACTCGGTCCCCTTGCTCATACCAACGTGCTCAAAAGGACTTCAATATGCAGGTCAAGGGCACTTCTCAATAATCCAATACACCGTATCAATAAACAAATAACCCAGCCTCAAATCCTTCTATCTCGGCCAACTATCTCAAAGCACCAACAAATGAAGAATAGATCCAAACTGATAAAGGAGAGAATTTTACCTCCAAATGAAACCCTAACAAGAGTCTCCAAATGATCTCACCCCGCACGACGGCAACGAGATCCACAAATAGAAAAAATCTCACCTTTATCTCCAAACGAAGCCCTCGAAGAGCCTTCAAAGCGATCTACTCCTCCAAATAGCCCAAGCACCAACAAACCAATGCGGAATAAACGAAGAATAGATCCAAACTAAAAAAGATAGAGTCTTTACCAAAAAGATCCCACCTTTCTCACCAAACGAAGCCCTAGCCGAACTTCCAAATTGATCTACTCCTCCAACCAAGACAAAACCCTAGATCTGAAATCTGGAGCTCTGATACCAATTGTTGTGCGCGGTGCGGAAGCGGTCGAATAACACAATCCAAACAAGAGAGATCACAACCAAATAAACAAGCACAATCACCAATTAACACAAGAGATTTACGTGGTTCGGCAAGTTGCCTACGTCCACGGGGTAAGAAGGGGATGGAGTTTTCACTAATAGAGAAAGAGTACAAACTGAGATTACAAATCACTCGAAGGAATAAACTAATCTCACCAACAAGCTCTTAATCTCTCCAAACAAAACCCTAAACAAATAGCTCAGAAAATACCTCTTTTCTGTGCTCCAAATATCCCCAATTTTTCTTCTCCACCAATTTTCTCTTCCAATTGTTCCATATATATAGAAATCCTAAAATCATAAACATATTAGGAATTCTAAACCAAAACCAAATCAAATTAGGAATCCTAATAACCTATTACCAAAATAGATTAGGAATCCTAATAACCTCATGTTACCAAAATAGACTAGGAATCCTAATAACCTCATGTTACCAAAATAGATTAGGAATTCCCTATCCAACAGCAACTATATCATACTCATGTGTACTTCTTTTTGTTGTAGTAATATTACAGATTGAAGCTATGGCTGAAGATGTTCAACCTTTGCTTATTGAGGTTAATAATAGTTCTCTGCTGGAGAATTTAGCTACTTTAACCAAGAGCCTCAAGGAAGCAACTGAAGAATTTAGGTATAGAGCTTTATTGGAGTTATTTTTTATCGTTTTGTCACACATATACAAGGAACTGCTCTTCATATACAAATCCTTTCCAGTTGCTGTAATTTTATAGTACAACCTAAACGTCATTAGTAATTTTATAGTACTAACTGTGAATTTATATATAGCATGCAGGTATTGTCATTACTGAACTTCAATATTTGTCCTCATGATTGTTGAATTTAAAATGTGATCAATTGTTTCAATTCAACATGGGTATCAGGGTCTTTTTCATCTGTTCAACTCTGTCACCCATTTTAAACTTTTTTCTTAGTAAATTTATGTTTTAACTTTTGAGGAGAATAATGGATATCATAGGACATATGAAGTGATTCTCTCATATACTTATGATATGGCTAAATCTCAGCCAAGTGAATAAAGGGGCTGATGTAATCCACAACAGTTGACTGAGATTCGGCCACATTATTGCATGTGAGAGAACCTTCGCACATACGCCATATGATACCCATTATTCTCTAAATAGAAATATAGTATACCACTTTAACTTAATTTGCGTCACAATAGGTCTTTCCCATTATCTAATTCTCCATGGGTTTGATTTTTGAATGATGCAAACTAGGCAATTCTCCTTCTAACCCCGTCATTTCATCCATTTATTTATTTATTTTCTTTTGAAATGAATTCTATACTTATTTAAGACGTATTCATATTAAATTATCTTTAATTATATCCCTCTGGTAACATCTGTTTTATCTTGCAGAAAAGTGCAGACTTCTATTCTCACCCCTGAGACTACTGAGCTGATCAAGAAGTCTATAGTTTCACTTATATTCACTTTGGAGAATATCGAGGTGTCACACTATTCTCTAGTAAAATATTCTTATGCCTCAACTAGAAAATGTGTTGTCTTCGGTGCTTATTAATTTACTTTTTTTCAATGCACTTGCAGAGTATAAGCTCGGATATCTCAGTCTTTACAGGTGATGAAGCCACAAGGGATAATTTGAAGATTCTTATCAAGTCACTTACCAGGCTACTATAAACAATGTATGTATGCTAGGAACAGATTTGTCTTTTAATTTTTGGCACATGCAGTTTTACGACCTTTTGCTTTTTGAACTCTTTAATGTGATTCATATGCTTCATTCTTGGTGATTAATATCAAATATGTAGAAGGATTTTGATGTGAAATGTAATTTGGATTTTCGTGGTGAGAAGACTTAAGGGTTGAAGAAGCCTTGCCAAGTATTGTTGTACTGATTGAAGACACGCACATGTTCATTGTTCCCTTCTAAAGTTTTAAGGCGGACAATCTACATAATGTCATGTAATTTGTAACATTGAAATGATTTCAATCAACATCAATGCATCTTTTCCCTTGCTCATCTCTTCTTGCATTTCTTTTTCCTTGTTATGGTTTCCTTTAGTTTTGAAGGGTTTTGGCCTTAAACCCCTTATCCTTAACTTGGAGAAGGTAAAGATGTTAAACTTTGAGGAGGATTAAATCTCAGCCATAGACTTCTCACCAGAGTCACTTTATGCAAATACTAAGTTTGATGCAGAACAACATGGAAAGTTCTCCACAGATGATAGACTAGAACCACAGCTCGAACAAAACATTTAATTACAATTTTACTATCTAAGCTCAAGATCGCATATGAGCGGGGGCCTAGAAAATCTAGATATCTATTCAATTATTTGTTATATTGAAAATTTTGTATTGAAAATTATACTTTATTTTTGTGTTACAATATTTGCTTCCAGTTGTTTCCTTCATTAGAATTTTTTGAATTTAACTGTTTACTAAC